ATCTGTTAATTCTGCCTTTGACGAAGGCTATAGTAAGACCGAATAAAAGTGATTGGCTTTAACAGCTGCAGCAACTAATTTCCTTCTACAAGGTGTTAAGGATAAAAGTAATCACATCTAATGGGATGGCTAACCCTCAATGTGTGAAACTAGCTTTTGTCACATGAGGAAGTACAGGACAAACACTCACAAACAGATCATAAAACTAGACAAACATTCAAAGTGTGAAGAAACTTCTTTCTGAGCTTGTGTACTGTATATAAGAGCTGGGAAATCCTTGTAGTTTGTCTGTTCTGTGGGGCAGACCCAGCGGACATTACTGTCCTTATTGAGCTCAATAAACCAGTGGCCTTTTACTGTAGGTTTTAGCGCCGTGAGGGTGACAAATTATTTTAATGAGGAGAAACTCCTGACAAGGAATTAATCATATTCAATTAGTAAATAAGATTTATTGGTTACTACAACACTTCGTGCTGTTCCCCACTTCATAGGCTGTTCATGTATAGGTTACATTCAGTGACATTTTTGACATTTCTGAACAAAAGATTGCTAAATGTCAACCTTATTGCCTTTTCACCCAAAATAAACTGTATTCATAAAACACAAGGTTGTTACAATATGAGAAAACACTTTTGGAGATTAAATTGATGGTGTTCCTAATCATAACATATATTCTATTCCCTGATTGTGTCTGAAACACCTCAGGCTTTTGTACAGCAGCAATTTCAGAAAAGAAGGAAAGCATTTGCAAAAAATATCAAACCTCAGTGATCTATTATATTATTTATAATTAGAGAGTTTAAAGTAATCTGATGGCCTGCTATCGGTATCTGTAAATCAGGAATAGAGTTCAAAGTATTGGAATATAGCCCAGCTTCAAGGAATCATCCATCTACAAAGCTCAGTCAATGAGGTTCATACAGCATGTGCTGTATTTTGGAATCTGTTCTAAAAACATTTTGTGATTTTGTTTACTTAACTTGTTTAAAAGTTTATTAAAACAAATAGTAAAAAAAACACATCCTCAAATGCAGTAAATGTCAAGACTTTGGTGCTTGCTCCTACTGTACCAGACTTTTAATTATTTTATGGCATGTTTTATCAGCCTACATTGTACACCCTAGCATTAAAAAAATTCCTGACAAAGCAGTGCCACGTAGTCTTCTAAACTTTTATGATCCTCTTTTTACTCAGCCATTCTTTTATAGTCTGATCCGAGCTTGGAATTTAAGACAGTGTGTTAATTCCGTCGTGCTTGAGGGTTCCTGTACTTCACATTCAAATGTTTAAGACACTGGCGTACAGATCCATTACAAAGAGTTAGATTTAACAGAACATCCCGATGACAGTAAAAACATACTGTACTACCAAACCTTACTACGGTTAACCACGAGGTGTAAAAGGAATTAAAAGGCAAGCCATGCATATCTGTTTTTTTTGCCATTTGTCCCAGTTTTTATTACAGAGTGCACTTCTTTTTCAAAGGTCTTGGAACTATGCAAAGTAAAGTTGGCTTGTGCCTAGAAATGGAAAAAAAAAACATAATGGAAGTATATACAGTATGGTTATAAATCAAGGAAGAGGCTGATCTTCGTTAACTGCTAAAGATCCCAACAAGTCTTGGATGATCAAGACTACATATTGTACTTTCAGAAACATAGGTTTCCCTCCACAGCATGTTGTTCTTCTCCTTACGAAGGAATAAAGGAGAGAATTTGGCAAGGATGGAATTCGGTACTCCCATCACATTTTCATATTTCCTCCTGAAGTCTTTTGTTCCTAGAAGATAATTGTCACAATCTGCCCTGAGAAAAAAGGGACTGAACATATTGGGGTCAATCCTTCTACAAACATATGATGTCGCAAAAGTCTTGGAGCCCCCTTTCTCCCTGTGTCACTGTGTATCCCCTTGACCTCTAACCCTCACGCCATTGGGATTTGTAAAGAATACAACAGAATAATACAAAATCAAAATGGTTTCTTACAGTCCCAGGGGGGTAAAGACATTGGGATGTCTGTTATTCTAAGCCCTAACATAGGACATTGTATGAGACTTCGGATAAGACTAGACTGCTCTAGAGCTCAGAGGCAGAATGTAAAGCTTGCAGGGCTTTTGTCAGATAACAAAGGTGGAGCTCTAAAAGTATTTGAAATATTTACCAGTATCCCATGGCTGTCTGTATAACCCAGCTGTGCTCACACTAAATGGTAAATGCTTGCAGACACTGAAATGCTTTAACATAGTGATCATTGCTGGGAGTCTTGAAATCTGGTTTTCCTGAACCCTTCCTAAGAAACTCCAGAAATTTAATTCACATGCAGAGCCAAGAAAGGAAATCGAATGTCAGTATTTTTATCTTCCATTAACTTTCCAACTTCAAGGTCAGGACACGTGAAAATTAATGGAAGAGGACTCAATGGATAACCTGTTCTGGAGAATAGCCATTTGTGTGCAATACATATATACTGTATATATAAACAACTTATAATATTAACCATAAGTGAACAACGAAATGTGATTTGAGCAAGAAAAGAGCTGACTGTTGTTTGAAAATCCAGGTTTTCAGTAACTCTTCTGTACAAGCCCTGATCATACAGAAAAGTAACCTTTAACAGCAGTTTTCTGATGCCTGATCCCTGGTCAGAGACCTTTCTGGTAGTACACAATTCGGAAAAAGTCTATCTAAAAGAAAAGGCAAAAACAGAAGTTCCAGGTGAGATCTGTTAATGTTGTCTTCCCTAGTCTGCTGTGTCTTTTGTGAAAGCTGTTCATTTTAAACCTTCAGAATGTTGGCTTTATACAAATGCCACCATTTTTTTAAAACCTATTATTGATTAAACAGATTTTTTTGACACTCCACAAAATATAGCACACCAAAGTACCTGGGATACTATGAACCTAAAGAGGGGCCTATGTTCTGCTAGCAAAGTGTGTTAAGCTCTTTAACACCACATTGTCCCAACTACCTTTGGAGCACCTTCCACTGCTGTAAATGTAAAACATCCAAACAACAACAGGTCAAGTGCGAAATCAAAATCTCATCACATCTGGGGACACTTAATGGCAGTACCAACCTATGCAACTCATTAAGGGATCAAGGGGTTTAAAGGGAAAAACATAGATCTTGTGTGTTTCAGCAGTTTTATTATGCTGCTAACAGATTAATTTAGTTTACGTTTTAAGGTGGAGTTTGAAAATTTACGATCTCCAGCCAGCCTTCCAGTTTTAAGGAATAACACTGGCAAGTATCCGTTCATCTTTAAACAGTACAGGGCCACATGGGAGCTGGAATCTATCCCAGAAAGCAACAGGTACAAGCAAGGATACACCCTGGCCTGGACAGGACACCAGTCCATTGCAGGGCACACACAAACACACACTCACACGTACAGTACTCACCAGGGCCAGTTTTTCCAGAAGTTCCAGTTTTTTCCAATCAATGTGTCTTTGGATTTTTGGAGGAACCTGGAGCACCCAGAGGAAACCCACATGAACATCAGAGGACATGCATGCCAGCCATATCACCCTGCAACTTACCACTGGCAGCCCACTGAAGCTCAGCAGGTGTGAGCCTGGTCAGTACCTGGATGGAAGACCTCCTGGGAAAAACTAAGGTTGCTGCTGGAAGAGTTGTTAGTGGGGCCAGCAGGGGGCGCTCACCCTGCAGCCCATGTGGGTCCTAATGCCCCAGTATAATGACGGGGATACTATACTGTAAAAAAGGCACCATCCTTCGTATGTGATGTAAAACTGAGGTCCTGACTCTCTGTGATCATAAGAAATCCCAGGGTGTTTCTTAAAAAGAGTAGGAGTGTTACCCCAGGGTCCTGGCCAAATTTCCCATTGGCCTTTACCAATCATGGCCTGTTAATAATCCCCATCTCTGAACTGTCTTCATCACTCTGTTCTCCTTGTGCATCATCCAGGTGGGGCTACACACTGGTGGTGGTGGAGGGGATCCCCATTAGCTATAAAGTGCTTTGAGTGAAGTGTCCAGAAAAGCACTACATAGGGGTAAAATCCTGACTCCTTGCAGTTAGCACCCCAGGTCAAGAACTGAACCCAGGGCTCGAGCTCTGCAAAGCAGCAACGCTAACCAGCCTGTGAGTGCCATGTCAGCAAAAATAAAACGGTGCATAAGATAAAGGATAAGAGGTATTTTCTGATTTTCTTTTTAAGCAAATGGTGCACAGTCTGCTACATACTGCTTTGTTGGGGTTAATTGTGCTTCTTGGGGTTAAACTGCTTACAGAATATCTTATACTTTGCTGGACACCCAATATTGACACAGCAAACAGTGGTTGCACAAAACTCTGTGGAGAAGATAAGGGGCTGAAGCCTCCAAAAGCACACGAACATCTGCCATCATGGAGGACTCAGGCCAGGTGGACATTTCGGCACGGTTATATTCCCGTTTCTGAACACGCTGTTCCGAGTCTCCGAAATCCTTCTTTTGCACTTGGCTACAACCTCCAAACACTTGCCAGAAATGAATAAAACATGTCCATCTTCTAAAATTGGGGAATTGAGAATCCTTATGTTAATTTCCTTAAAGTTCTTGAATGTTCCTAAAACATAATGTCAGCTTACACACACACCAGCTTGGAATGCACTGCCATAAGTATTGAGTTTTTACTTTTTTTTTGGGGGGGTGGAATATACATGTTTTGTTCAGTGGGACACCAGCAAAACAATGAAATAGATAGCCAAAAGCATCAGGGAGTGTGTGTGTCTCAGCCCCTTCATTGCAAATTCACTTTTTTCCCATCTGGGAGAGGCCTCTGTGCTCCCAGGTGTAAAACCAACAGGCTCAGGAAATCTTTCATTCAAAAGCAACTACTTTGTCTCTCGTTTCTTTTCTCCTGTAACACTACTGTATTCTCTTCGCTATTGGCGATGCGTATTTGTCATTGTGTTGTGTTTGACTGTGCCGTAAAATATAATTCCCCAAGGGGACAATACAGCTTGAATTGAAATAAAAACCAGAGGCAGAGGCAAATAAAAAACAAATTGACATTTAATTCATTGGAAGTTAAAACACCACCACTCCTCCCTGTGAAGGCAGTGCTCTGTTTCCGTCTAAGGCACTTTCCATTAACAATACAGCAAATACAAAAGATGCAGAAAGTAAAGCACTCTACGTACAAACACAGAATTGTCAATTACACATTTAAATGTCCATCCTTTACATAACTACAAGCAGGAATTAATGCTTTTGATTTAATTTTGGAGGAACAATGATTACCCTGATATCAATTAATTACATTCTCTAGGACTGTAGAGAGGATAGATTTTCTGTGAAACATCTACATATCCCCTATTCCAAATGGATAATAGTTGTTGTCCTAGCTCCACCCCTCTCAGTATTCTGTGTTCTGTTAGTGTTAGTTGCATTGGAAGTCACATGGCGTATGTCAGAACAGGGACTGAATCTTCAAGGTTTCGTTACTGGTATAATATTCCTGGCAGTTACAGCTCTGGGCCAAATGAAAGAGTGTAATGTGAGCAACAGATGCAGGTTATTTTTCAGAATCCCAACAGATGCTGGTTTAGGTATTCACCAAAGTGATTCAAAAACAGGAACTTCAACTCACAACAAAAACAGCTACTCTTCCAAACTGAAATATTTCTTTTTGTGTGCGTCTGCCAGAACCCAAAAGAAAACAACATCCTTAATACAACAATGAAAGTAAACAGCACCGGAAAAAAAAATAAAACAAAACAAAATAGGCAATTCTCCAACAGTAGAATATAATACAATGTATTTGTCTATGGTAAATATGTATTATTTACCAAACTGATGTTTAAAAGAAAAGTATTTGTTTAAAAACAACGAATTGCAAAGGTGCAAATCTCTTTTCTCAGAATTCACATTTTGTCTCACAACAGACAAACAGCTTATGGAAAACGAAATAAAGAAGCATTTTGGATGTTTAGTCAATTAAACCATTAACTCCTTTAAATTAAAGGTTCAAACAAGGTTATGATGTCCATCACACACATCTGCAGTAACATTGGTTTAGTATGAAGACGCATTAGTTCAAACTCATCTCACGACTGCGGGAAGAATAAACAAACGTCTGAATTGGCCTAAAAAGTATTACCACATTCACCGTAGAAATGTACGGCATCAATTGTATACTATACTGTATTCAAGAGAGCAGGTTTGTAGCCAAGGTAAACTTGCCTAGTTGTATGACATTCAGTTCTATGTTTTACTCCTGAGTTTATATTTAGCAAACAGTTACCGACTAAGTAAATAAAACTGAAAAGTTTAAACCTACAAAGAGCTCTTTGCCCTACACCCCTTCCATTTTAACTTCCACCTGCGTTCAGCTGAATCTTGCCCAGCCCAGTAGCAAGCAAAACATTTTTTAAAAAAAAAAAACTCGCAGCTGTTGTCTCCTTAATTCCTACATGTACACTCGGAGGTTTGCGATGATTTGGGTGTTTAGTAAAAGAAAAAAAAAATCTAATGGACTTCCAAGTCTGGCCTTTGTAGCTGTTAACATCTTACATACTACCTTTGCAGAACAAACACATAAATACTCTTTTATTTTCTTACCCCAAGCTCTGTACAATATATATCTATGCCATAAATTATTTATACAGCTTTCTGCTGTGCCTCCGTTAGAAAAAAAGGTTTGCTATTCATTTCATGAATGGGGAGCTGTCCCATTCCCCCTCCCCCCTTCACTCTCTGCTCATCAGATCGCCTCTTGCTTGGTTATGGTGGGCTGAGGAATGGAGGTGGGCTGTTTGGATACGGTGGCTATGACCCCCTGGGCCAGTTTGTACTGATCCGAGCTGGACCCAGCAGGCGGAGAAGGAAGTGGAGTTTCTGGAGTAGCTACAGGGAGAAGGCAAGAAAGAGGCAGGTTAGAGTACGCAGAAGGAAATGCTAATTTCCGAATGGGAAACTGCACTACAATGGGTTCCCTGAAATCGCAGTGGCATTACCTACTGTGCCCACTACGCCTCCATGCCCCTTGGTATAAACCTCATTGTTTTGCACGAGCCTCCATGTCAAGTCCCAATCTATTCAAAAAGCCCACAAAACTGGGTCCATAACATATTACAGATTCACATACAGTACATTACCATCCAAGCACTTACAGTGGCTAGAATGGTCGCTGATACTTTACAGATCTGCAAGAGCAAAAGATCTGTAAAGTCCAAAGATAACTTTAAATGCAGTCCGTCTCGCGTTGTTTTCCTACCGATTTCTGGGATCGTCCAGCCGCTATGAATTCGCATTCATCTCGACTCAAAAAACATTGCAAAGTCATCTGACTGAAATGCGCAACCCACATTTGGCCACTAGTTCGATTTCAAAAGGCTCTGCCCAAGGTTAAGAACAGCAGCATTTTGGCTTTGACAAAATAAGCCCAGTGAATCTTCCCAAAGCAGAAAGATGGTCAGTATTTCAGGACTCCATCAGCACTCCATGCTCGTGTTCATATTGAGCGAATCCGTATCTGTAAGCAGATCTGTTTTTAAGGAAAGTTACAGGTGCCCAGAAGATCTCCCCCCTCCCCCCATGTTAGGCTTGCTGGAGGCACTTACAGATCTGGCCGTTGTGAATGGGAGTTGGCATGTTGCTGGCCACGATGACATTGTTGCTGAGGTGCTCTTGGACCAGGTGGGGATGCAATGTGTGGGGTGCGTGAGGCGCCTCGTTTGCAGAACCTGAGGTCAAAGGAACACCAGCTTTAAAATCAGCAGATGATTACCTAGACCAGCAAACCGTAGCTGGAGACAAGCGACTTCAGTCATCACATTGACATGTACTTTGTGAAACACAATGGTAAAAAAAAAATGGTTTTGCTTTCTACACTTTCTTTCTAGCGGAAGGGTACAGTGAATTACACAATCATCGTGTAATAATGTTTGTCACGTTAATCAATATTGTGCGTCAGCCACTGCCCATAGATTGAAAACAAGACACTGTGCCCGCATAACGAAATAGAAGCCTTTAGCAGCAACATTCAATATGCCCTTTTAACAGCTTTGCAGTCACAACTTATGTCATCGGCTTATGTTTTATGTCTTCTCATTTTTTTGGTTCATTGGGAAAAACATGGAAGTATTTTTAAGAAGTGAAATACTTTTTGCCAAAAAAGTCTGACATTTTCAGACTTATCACACCATTCCTAGACTGTACATGAAGGTCTGAATTCAGTAGATGTTCTAGAAAATGCTCATTTACCATTAGACTTATTTATTTATCCCAATTTAAATCAGCAGTTTCCTCTTTATATAATAATGGGTATATCTGGGTTCTGGTTGGAGTACTAGAAGATTTTTAAATATTGATATTGAATGTCATTATATTATCTTCGGATATAACACACAGAGTGTTTGTCTCATCTAGAGGTTTTGCCAGAGTGGCACAGTCAAGTTTATTAGGTTTAATCACAGATTGCAGTTTATCCCGGAGAGATCAGTGCAGTTACGTTAGATAGGCGCACAAGAAGTGTGCATGAATCATACATTGCACGTGACACTCTCAAGCACACACTACTGTTATCACGGGGTCTGAGATATGGCAACCCCTAGAATGAACTAGGTGAAGGCCACTGCAAAGGTGTTTAGACTGTTCTCAAATCCCTCTGAACAGCACTGGCTTTCAGTGGGTTGGATCAAGGCTTTGACCTGACGTTAAAAAAGCCTGACCTGCCAAAGCACTCAGCCAGTGAACTCTTTCATTTGTTTAAGCCCATTCATTAACCGGACGCCCTCTGCTTCTAGGGCGGCTCACAGTGTAAAGCAGGCCCAGTCTGTGGCCTTCTCCATACAAGCACATGGACACACTGATGTTTAGAGACGGGCCTCAGACTTCTGCTGAGACCACAATTCATTTCTGTTTGCTCTCACAAACGAAGAACTACTTTGAGATGTTATCTTGATGAAGTGTCTCTCAGCCCTCCATTCAAAATCCCAGTTTCTCATCTCTTCACGGGGAGAAAATAAGATCGTTTCCCCACTACAGAGCTTGAACAGCACACTGAAACAGGCAGTGATTTCTCATGCTGAATCATCACTGATGGGTTGTGTCCGACGATGGCGGTTGTACTTTGTGCAGCTCATCTGTTTGGAAGATGAGCTGCACGAAGAAACCTGTGCAGGGGAGCCCCAGTGCAACGGCTCTCCCACTCCCTCGACCTCAGAAGCCTGGGTTCAGCAGTACGAGTAGTCCTCATGACTGGAGACTTCCTTGGTTGCAGAGGATGGCCATGATGCCTTTCTGTGCCTTGTCAAGCCCTTCACTTTCCACAGAGCATTGCAACAGTATAGTGTCCCATCACTATAATGGGGCATTAGGACCCACACAGACCGCAGGGTGAGTACCCCCTGCTGGCCCCACTAGCACCCCCTCCAGCAGCAACCTTAGTTTTTCCCAGGAGGTCTCCCCTCCAGGTACTGACCTGGCTCACATCTGCTGAGCTTCAGTGGGTTGCCAGTTGTGAGCTGCAGGGCGATATGGCTGCTTGAATCACCACTATATCCTGTTGTATACCCTGTGAGAGGTCAGACGTGTGTAACAGGAATCTCTGAGCCCACTACAGGATGATGCAATCCCCTAGAAAAACTGGATCGTGTTTAAGAAGACCCACAGAAGAGCTCTCTGCTGCCTGGGGAGGCACTGTGAGGCTTGGATCCAGGGGGGCTCCAAATTCTGGGAGAGGCAGAGCTGCACATGTTCTATGCATCCTGGGAACCATTCGTTCTCTACCCATTCTACTTCCTGTGAGCTAGGAAGGGATTTGATGCCAAGTATAGGGCAGAAACAGCACGCCACAAGCCTGTAAGTATCCCCCCTGCAGCAGGGGCTGGTGTTGCTCAGTGCTTCAAGTGTCCCCAGTCACACGAGTGTTGCCCCACCGACTCCCCCCAGGCCCCGAGCACTCGCCTACCTCCCAGCAGCATCTCCTGCAGCAGGTTGTCTATCTTGGCCATCCCGAAGAGCTTGACGAACTGGATCTGCTCGATCATCTGCCAGGTGATGCTCTGCAGGGTGGGCAGCAGCAGGAGCAGCTCGCCGAACCGGCCGCGCGAGTCGTACTGCCGGTCGTTGATGTAGTCCTCCAGGCTGACCTGCACCTGGTAGCGCATGCGCTTGATCTTGCTGGGGTCGCTCAGGCCTTTGGCATCTGGGACAAGGAGAAGCCTGGCTCAGACTTGGGTCCAGACTCAGGAGCATCCTCTCCAAGATACGCACATCATCCCAGGGTTTATTTTCAATGTTTCAATGCAATCTTAAACCCTCCAACGTTTACAGAAACGGAGAGCGCAATATGAAATAATCTTAGCGCTTTCTTTATGCGTTTGAAATTCAAATCAAGGATCCCACTTGCAAGTGCCTGTGGTACTGCGAGACGTGAAAGATGGGGGTTCTTTAGTTCTGTCTCATGCTTGTAAGTTTATACTGTAGGCAAGTGGAAGAGTTTTATGTGAAAAATATGGATCCTGTTTCACTACACAGTCAGTCTGTATGCAGATATCTCACGTTGTCTGAAATTAGCTGAAGTGCTGATTTCAAAGTGAAATCTTCTTTGACTTTTGGTTTAAAATGTTAACAACTTTCTTCTATACTTATAGTATGTCAGCATTGTCTCTTGAGCCAAAGGGTTTAAACCAATCTTGCTTCTGTAGAGTCCCTATTCAATGTTTTACAGGTAACATTAATTTTTAAAGAGTTATACTAAAGTCCAATATAACTGATCAATTTCACAGCTGATTGAGTGACTCTCAAGGACCAAATTTCCATTAGCTGAACAAAGAACTTAATTGATCAATAACTTATAAGTGTTCCTAGTGTTAATAAAGTTGACCTACGAGACAAAAAGGATTGGGAGAAGGAGACTCATGCTTTAGGGAAATCCTTACATATGACTTCATCAAATCGAATAGCTTTGCAACTCTCTCTTAATGCGTGTTTGGAAGACCTCTAATTAAGAATATACTTAATTAAGCCTAAACACTATCACTGCTCCATCCATCCCTTTTCTAACTGCTTCGTCAAATTCAGGATTGCAGCAAGCAACTGGGAGAAGGCAGAATACACCCCGGACAGGACCCCAGTCCACAGCAGGACACACACACTCACATCAGGGCCAATTTTCCCAGAAGCCAATTAACTTGCCAATCTGTTTTTGGACTGTGGGAGGAAACCTGATAACCCAGAGGAAACCCTTGCAAACACAGGAAGAACATACAAACTGCACACAGACACTAACCACTACGCCACCATGCCACCCACTAACACTAGTCATCTGGGCAAAACGGTTTTCAAATGTCGCTGGCCAGTCAGTACCTGGGTCGAAGAACACAATGGCTTTCAAGCAGGCATATTCATTGTCGTCTATCTGAAGTTCCTGGAAAGGCAGTACCAGTTCATCTAAAATCCTCACAGCTACACGGCTCACTTCCAGCTCTGGGCAGTTCCGAGGGATAATGTGGTCATTACCTTAACGACAAAAAGGAAACAAATCAAAATTTAGTAGGGCTAATGTCAAGATGACAACACTCGATGCAATAAAATCACACAAACTTTACAGGGCTTATTAATCTTAAGAAGTCTTTCTATCTCTAGGGCAGATGCAGTAATAAATAAATTAATCAATCCACATCATCACTCGCACCTGTGACTATTGGAATCGACTGGCTTTCTGTACGACAGGCTTCCTTGCTGCCCTTTTCGAATGTCAGAGACCCAGAATAAATGGGAAAGGGAATAAATGTGTATGGTCGAATGTTTTGATTTTGTGGAAAAACAAAGTGCTCAAAGAAATGCCTTTGACAGAAAAGTAACTCAGGAGGTACAATATTTATAGGCAGAAGCCCAGACAGTTCTTTCTGTGCTTGTGTTGAATAGACCCATTCTGATGTTATTAGGTTAAAAATTATTGCTTCATATCTTGTGCATGTATATTGTTTTATTAGGCCCATAAAACGATCAGTTTTATACATTTTTCAAGGATGATGAGTGAGACACAGTCACAGAACGGTTACTCAAGAGCTGATTAAAAAAAAGCATTTATGTGTGGTGAAAATAATAAAAAGACGTGCTACAGAAACACATTCACACATTGAAAGCTGTTTCTTTTAGTGCCATACAATTCATATCTGGCTCTAGGAGAGATGACCTCTGGCCAGTGTCCTGCTTGGATCTGCAGTCTGACATCTTTTGACCAGAAAGCCCAGATTCAGAGGTCAGAAGTTTTCTACTGGTGGGGCTTTCAACACTCAACAAGCCATAAATGGCTCAAATTCAAGTTAAAAGGTTTACATTTTACATGCACACACACAAACACACAGTGCTATTTCACAGTTTCAGATCGCTACTAGATGACGTGGGGTTAACACATACTTATGGATTTTGTCAGAAAAGTTAGTGGAAGAAGGCTGGATCCAAATCTTGTGCATTTCCCTTACCTATATATACAGTATATATTCAGTATCCCTCTTACAGCTACGCCACTCCATCTCCCCATCTACACCCCTGCAGCAGCTCCCTAGCTCATTCCTCACAATCGTGAGAGGGGGCTTTGGGTATCCTGTCTTCAAGGCTAGACTGCTATTGGCTCAGCAAGACAAGTCACACCAAAACACTCTCTACATATTTCATAGCTCTATCGCATTTGAAGTGCATGAACTGAAGTGCACAGTAGAAAAGTGCATGTTCCCAGCCCTTCTGTGATCTCCCTCCTGAAGGAGGTGGGTGGACTTGCCTTACCTAACAGCAGCAGGTCTTTGAACATCATAGACCGCTTGGCAGCTCCTAGCAGGAGGTGCTCTCCAGCGTGAGCCCTCAGTAAGGCAACCTGCAAGAGGGAACACCTGTTTCATTTCCTGGCCTCAGCCCACTCCTGAAAAAAGGCACTGTACCACGTTAAAAAATAACATTATCCCATGATATGAACCACTGCAAAGTATAGTCAAAGAATGGTAAAAGCATGACAAAGCTGCAAACTATACCTTTCCTGCATTAAAACTGCCACAATTTTTCCATTATGAGATGCAGCATCATGGAATTACGTTGATTCCATTATCACAATTTATTGTTTTAGGAAGAAACAATCAAACAACTGCATGTTGGCCTAAAGATTTTAGCCAAGCTGCTGTTTATATTTTAACCAACATCCAGGCAAGGAGGGTGGGGGTGCTGTGTTGGACAAGGCAGAATATAGGGGTGAAATTGCATCCTGTGTTCTACTGGCCCTTTGCATTACAACTGAAAAAGCAAATCCCAATCAATATCAGAGGGACATTATTTGAGTTTCAGTCCCCGTCCTTTGGAAAAATGTGTATATATACTGCACTACATGCGTGTTCAGCGTTGTCTAAAGAGTCATTATGGATGCCTTACTCTTGAGACTGCTTTTTTAACTTGAACCAAAATGTGTGTTCACGATTCACGATTCACGGCTTCGTGTTCACCACAGCTCTCTGACTGGCACACACACACGAGTAGAAAAAGAGATCCCACTGGCTCCAGGACTTGTGAAGTCGTGCAAGCTTCACAACTGGCTTCACCATTAAGACAGAGCTGTTCTCACAGTGACAGGGGGTGTGCGTGCGTGCGAGGAGAGTGTCTGTGGATCCATCAACTTGCTCCCTCATTAATTCCTTGCCTACAAATCAGTTACGAAGTCCTGTTTTTATGAACGTTAATGATTCAGGAAGACTGGGGGACAGCTTTTAACCTTCCAACTAGCTCATTGCATTGTAACTGGGGAAATCAAAATTTATTAACCAAAATGGCTCTGGAAGAACATGAAAATAAGACCTGCACACAGGATTTCCCATGGTTAGCATACTGCCGCCTGATCCTGTGCATTTAGAGTAGAGCTTGCATCAGTTCAGTCCATCATCTCTTTGTAAATCTTTGGTGTGAAATTTGAATCGGGTCAAATCAGGACTTATGTTTTATGTTTATCAAGGGAGTGAAGTAACACTTTATTGTTTTGTGACTGATTGTGTCTTTTAATAAAGTTAATAAGGGTCACCTCCTTGTTGTAACAGGTATCTTTGAGCTGATTTGTTTCTCATTTTTGAAGACTGTGAAGTATATACATTTGGATAAACTGAAACGTACTTTCTGTGTTGCCAAAATAAACATAACAGGCTGGATGTGGGTAAAAATGTCATCATTGCATTTCTGGTGTTCCATTAATAAGTCCAAAAGTAACTTGAACACTACAGAACAATATATCATGGTGAGTTGTTATTAGAATATGCCATTGTTAAATTAGAGAAAACCAAGAAATGTTTCCTTTTCAATCTGTTAATAACACGTGTGCAAGTTCTATTGCAGTTCAGCGAAGATTATTACAGCTTGTGAACAAACAGCTGTATTGCTTGCCCTTCATTGAAATGAAAAGGGGGGAAAATTCTGTTTATGATGCTATAGTATTTCATCAGGAATGCAACATATGACTAATCAAGAAAACATTACAAAAGAGACCCACAGAGACACCCCTAATCCCAAATGACTTAATTCAGCGTCGAGGACTCCTAGCACAAAATCTGTGGTTCGAGTTTACAGATTTGGCTGAAAGATAGTTCCTCTCAGGTTCCTGGCCTGTTACGCAAAAAAGCTTAGGAAAATATTATCTCTCAGGTGCTTTTCATATAAAGCTTGGGGACATCATTAAGTGAAATAAAGCCTTATGAGGAATTCCTTCGCAGTACTGGTGACCACTCATTGCATTCTGTGAGTTTTGACCAAGGAGATTGCAGTTTGTGCAGAGACAACTGTTTTAAATGTGAATAAAATGTGACTTTCCCCCTCGACTCACCTGGTCATCCAAAGGAAGTTCACAAAAGGCTGGGATGTACTTGGCCCACTCCACCAGGACCAACAGCTGCTGTTTCATGGATTCACACACGTCTGTGATGGTGGCAATTTTCTTGGTTCGGATATCGCCGTTTAGTATCGGCAGGGGGGACGAAATCTGAAAAGGCACACGTGGAAGGCTGTAGTTCACTTCCCATGACACCGAGCGTCACACGGCCTTGGACAAGAGTACTTTCCTGTGGCTCCTGTGCACACCTGGGGCGTGTATTCATGTGCTGGTCCTGCAAACAGCTCCACGACACAGACACTTCTTTAAATTAAATAAAGCTACAGCCAGTGCAGGAAATAAAACGTCTCAATTGACACCCAGCTCTTGTAAGGGCTGAAGCATGTTGTGGTTTGGCTTGTCTTTTAAATTGTTTTCATAAGCACAACAACTGCATCAAAATACATTGGGACAACAGGACTAAGGATGAGCTATAAAGATGGCATTGCATCTTGGTCCCTGCAGTCAAGGCTCTTGAGAAAGACCTTCTGGAATTATTCCCCAACCCCAAGTCCATAACTGACTCAGTTTTGGAGTTTTATAGAGCAAAACTACCATGGATTTCAGAAATTTAGGAACTTGTGCTGGTGGCCCTAATAAGATCTCATATGGAAGAAGTAGGACTGTTGTTCTCCAAAAATTGGGTTGGCCATCTCCCCACAGCTTAGACCTGCTGGTGCCAGATCGAAATTGGACCAAAATTAAGAATAAGCAAAGTTACAAATGAGAGAAGACCACCCAGACCATCTAGACCGTTTAGTAGTTAGTAGCTAACTGATCCAAAGCCAAAGGTCTTTTCCAGGCTTTTTTTTTTTTACAAGCCAGGGTATCGGCTTCAACAGCATGACCGGGCAGCTTGTTCCTGAATCCCACAACCCTTCCTGTGAAGATGTGCCTCCTGTTGTCAGTTTTAAATGTGCTTCCATATACAGTACACTGTCATTCTGAGGAAATCCAGATGATAATCAGGAGCAAGAAAGGCAGAGGTTAATTCATACAGGTTTGACGCCACGCCTCGAGCTCTTCAGGTATTTCAGAGCCTGTGCCCCATGAGGTACCTGTCGTGACAGCACCTCTGCCTGGATGAGGGCATTTATGGACGGCAAACTGCTGTCTTCATAGCTGGATCTTCGCGTGCTGATTCGGTCTCTTTCATTCTGAACAGCTGGGGGAGGATTAAAGAGAGTCAGTCAGGTGGAGAGGCAATACAAACTGAATTATGAACTATGGCTACTTCAATTTGTAGGCACTACTAACTATTTGCATTCTGATACAGGTTTCAATAGCAAAAGAAGAGGAAACAATAAAAGCAAAAACAATTGCAGAATAACCTGGTACTCGGTACTGTTACTCTCACCAACAGTCATTACCTAATAGCTGGGTGAAGTGACTCCCCTTTGATTGACAGACAAGCCAAACTTAAAATAAATAATTTAATGGGGGAAAATATCTTTGACTCCACTTGACAAAAAAAAACTCTCAAGGTTGTGATGTTTATCAGTGTTTAATCTCGTTATGATGCTTCAGAAATGTTTGTTCAGCAGAAACCGGTCATGAACCTTAATGCGTTCTCGATTGAACATTAACAAAGTGCTGCCTGGGTTTCAACACTGCCCCAGTGATCCTCCAATGATCTCCCGGCCCTGGCTGCACTGTCAGTCTGGCAGTGGGTCACCCCTAGTTATTGCTGAAAGCGCGTCAGTTCCACCTGCTAATGGGAGTCGCTGACCACATTACTGACGTTATCATTACTAAATTAGGTCCCGTAAATTTCACAAATACGCCTTTACCCGCACTCTGTGTGAAATATGAGGACTTGAAACTGTCGACAATTGATACACACTTGGTAACTTCAGTGTACGGTCAGAAGAATCAATCGGGTTCTGTTCTCAAGTGTTCTTAAAGAAAACGACTTCCAACGAGCTTAGTTGTTTCGGCAGGGATTGATTTCAATAGATGTTTGTTTTTGTCTTATACAGTACCCGTTTATTATAAAGCAACAAATACAATACAGGTGTTAATTGATCAATTCTTAACCAGTAATGGTCCACACTTCAAAGCATTGTGTTTTGAACAGGCTGCTAAAAATTGTAAAATAAATTCTCAAAACCCATGGCGACTATGCCAGTCTGTAATACAGTACCCCCTTCTCTGCAGCGGTAACAGTTAACTAGTCTTACTATCCACTGTACAGTGCGAGAGGTACTGTGCATGTATGCCCGCTTTAATATAAATGCTACAGTAGTTATAGAACTTGCTATGAAATGGGATTACTATTTTTCCGCCTAATTTACCACATTTTAAGAGGTGAGTATCCAAAAATTGCTGCAGTCTCTTCTATACTCGGGAGTGCCGCAATCCGAATCGCTTTTTTGTTAGAAATTCAAAATCTTCACCCAAATTATATAAGCAACACACGACTTTCAGTTCTTTTGCTGATGTCCATTTTTTTTATAAATACAGAGCAATACTAAACAGTAAGAGAAACATTCTTGTGGTATTCATGTAAATGAGACAAAAGTAAACTGCAATCTGATGCTATATTTGCTTACATACTTTATTACAATTTAAAACATAGATCCGATGCTTAAAAAAATGGATAATGACAGGATTGCACAACCGAGATGGAAGAAAAAGCGAGTTATAAAGACCTTCCAGTAAAACTCGTTGTGGAAAAATAGCCTTACCTTCTTTTTTCATGCCTGCCCGAAAACATTTCTTCAACCTACAGTATCGACATTGATTTCGCTTATCTTTGTCCACAATACACTGTCTGCTAAATCTGGGAAGCGAAAAAACAAAACAAAAGGGAACATTTAAAACATAAACCGCAAAACGAATAAAGTAACTGAAAAGCTTTATTTTTGGTTCAATAAACATCCAGCAGATAATTCTGACAGACATCAGGAAGAAAAAAAGAGGTGTTTGACTGTGCTTGTTATAAACTCTTTGTGCTGTAAGGAAGAGCTATTCTGACCAGGATGTTTCTGAGTGTTAGCAGAATCCTGCAGTAATAATGTTACAATTTATCTTTATGTTGCAGTTAAAATGAAGCCAGACGATATCCAGTAGAAAAGCTGGAGAATCCTACCCCGGGACTTTTTTTTAAGTCACCCCTAAATCACCTGTTGTTAATGATTGGGAATGCTTGTAAGTTATCGATCAATTAAGGAAGTGATTTGTTTATTTAATAGAACTCTGTGGTCCACGGGGTTTTCTAAATGATCTCCAAATTACTTCATTCAACAAATTATCTGCTTCATTGAACGCGGTTAACTTGCTCCAAGCCTTTAGAAACTAGTGGTTTAACGGTTACCTATAAAAATGGGGATTTAATCACATTGTTCAAGCATGTGTGAGTGATATGTACGAGATGCCTTTCAGATCTGTCGGTTCTCCGTGTGTATTTTTTATTGTTGCAATAATTATTCAGCAGATCTCTGCTGCAGTCAGCAAAGCAGCAAACTCTAGCATAAGAATAGTCCCCTTGACTGGGCTGTTCGAAATCGTGGGATCATTCATTCTGATGGGTGACTGCTGCAGCATTAATGGCCAGAATCACACCACACCACCTGGCCAACATAAGGAACCTACCCTGCCCCTCAGCAGCCCTCATCAGACTGTTCTTTCCCAGTTTCCTGACTCCCTGGACCAAGGCAGCTCTTGACACAGGAGCTATACTGGATCAGCCTCACATTGACAATGGAGAATTGCAAACTCAATATATTGAGAAGGATCTAGAATTCGTATAGTTGCTGTTGCTTTTGCCAACATGAAAGGTTTTGGTCCAAACTAAAATATAGTACTGGAAAAGCAGAAGTGATTTAGAGGCTGGCAAAGTGGAACACTGATTAACATTGCTGCCTTTCAGCTGGTGATCTGGGGTCAATTCTGGACCTGGGGGGCTGTCATGTGTGGAGTTTGCATGTTTTCCACGTTGTTGTGTGGGTTTATTCCGGGGGCTCCAGTTTCCTCCCATAGTCTAAAAACCTGTTGATAGGTTAAGTGGCTTCTGGGAAAACTGATGTGAGTGGGTGGGTGTCTGTTTGTGTTTTCCCTGTGATGGACTGGATCCTGTCCAGGGTGTACCCTGCCTTAAGCCAGTTGCTACCCAGGATGGGCTCTGTCTCCCCCATGACCCTGTGCTGGATAAAGTGATTAGCCCATGTATGGATGGATAATGTGATTTACATATCAAAGAGGAAGCTGATAGGTCTGTTGATTGAGTGGTATTGTTCCTTGGGATAATAAAATCAAAGGTGCTCGCTCAGTGTTTGATTTTTTAGTTAAAATCACTACAAAAAGAAGATTAAGATCATGCATCAATAGCCATTCAAAAAGTCATGATTTTGCTGAATGCCAGAGATGTGAAAGATATGAGCCAGGAGAAATGGCCAGCTCCTGGTTGCAGCTCCTACAATAGGTGGGCTGTCTGCGAGAGAAGCGTCCCTGAGATCGCATCAGTCTTTTTAGCAGGCAGAATATCCCATTACAATTCATTCTTAGGCTGATCTATGAGCCTGCTAGGTTTATGTTCATGCTCAGGGAGTTGATCTAATATGAGCTTTGCAATGCTTTCATTGAGACAGTGCAGGTTACCTGGTCTATGAGAGAACCTGGCTCTGGTGTGAGAGTGTATGTCTGTGTTGGTCTGTGTGTGTGCCCTGCGATGGACTGGCATCCAGTCCAAGGTGTATCCTGCCTTGTGCCAGGTCTGCTTGCCAGGATAGACTCCATCCCCTATGTGACCAAGTAATGGATGAACTGATTAGTAAATGGCTGGAAGGGCACTTTTTCTGGATACATTGAGAAGTAAATTTGAACGTATTTGAAATCTACGTTTAAAATA